CGTGATAATTGAACGAATAAGTATCTTCCAATAAACTCAAATTACTGTAAAGTATCATCACAATGCTGTTTAATATCATATTTCCATGCTAGGAAATTTGGGTGAATTTTCTTTTTTTGCGATCTTGGAAACTAACTTTCTTTATTTAGTCCCAGCCCTTGAGCGCTATAATTTTCCGTGCAAACACATTTATTGCATCTAGACTTCCTACAATTGTATAGGAAGGGAGACGAAGCAATGCGAAACAAAATATAGACTTTAAGATCCAACGACGCGACGGCAACGAGAAAATCACAATAACAATAGGTTTAATGAGCAAAACAACAAATTTGCACGTGCAGCACACTTTCTTCAACTTGTAGTTGCCGTTTTTGCATCACTAGGTAGTGAAAATGCCCTATTTCCCGTTTTATGGAGACGTTAACAAGCAACGTCGAAATCTTGCTTCTAGTTTGAATATTGAATATGTTCTACAGGAATTCAACACCAGTTGGCCGGTTCGCTTTAAGTGGGTAGGAAAAATCGCGATAAATACTAAAAGAGCGCAAATTCACTTAAAAGCGACGTTCTCGTTGCCGTTGAAGCAATATTGCGAACAACGGTTAAACAAATACAAAGTCAAGATAAAAATAACTACAAAACTAAACGAAAGCAAAAAGGCATCGGAATAATGGTAATGTAACAGGCAAGATACTTACAAGACGACAGCGAGACAAGAGGAAAAAGACCAAAGACACCAAAACTTGACCAACGTTTGGAAAGCACATAGAAGAAGTGACACGAAAACTTACAAGCAAAGCTAAATATTTATACGATATGCCCATAGTTAGTACAAAAGACGTGTTATGAAACCCGGCAGACATCAAAGTCGAAAACAAAGGTGCCCCAAAGGTGCTGTAGTTTATGTTGAAAGCTCCCTAACCGTTCACAATCCTTTGTTTTTTGTTCACAAATTGTGACTGAATAAATTAATGCGATGTTTCTATTGGTCAGTAAGTTCGAAATGATGAGAATGCTATTGAACATTGTGTACGGCAAAAATCCGAGTACTAAAGGCGAGAACACGAAAAGAACTAAGGGACCGGTCAATATTTATTGCCTGGGGGGGGGGGGGGTTGGAAGGATTCAAGGGGGGACCACTCAAATTCGCTTGGAAAATGAGGAAATGTGGGAAGGGGGGGATCGCGAAAGTCATCAAATGTTATTAGGGGGGATCCCTTCAGTGAAGTAACATTCAAAGCGGGGATCGGCGAAATTTCACCTTGCTTAGCCCCCCAATTCCCCCCCCCTCAGGCGATAAATAATGACTGGTCCCTAAAAACGCGGCGAACACAAACGCTCTTCATAAAGGCGCAAAATTTCTGGAGCTAATTACATTAGCTTACATTTCTAAGCACTCCAAGTACAGCTTTGAGCAAAATCTTGAATTTTAACGCTTTTTCATGTATCTCAGGAAAGACTCGATATAATTACTTGGCTCTTCTCATCTGTTTAACATTTTTACAAAACAATGATTATCACAACGCCTGTAAGGAAAGACTTCAACTCCCACAGAATTGGTTTGGAACACCAACATGGCTGCCGATTCTTTTCTTTGGAGCACAAATGTGGTCGCCGTGACGTCATGTGAAAATTTTATTGAAGATCCAAGACGGTTGCCGTGTCATCACGTGCAAACAAGCAATTGTATTCTACCTGGATTTATGAAGACCGGTTTAGGAAAAATTTTGAAATTTAATATCTCTTCCTTCTCTGTCTTAGCTTGTCTTTATCTTGCATCTTTTCTCGGTTGTTTTATGGTTAGGGAGTAAGGACTTAAGCATCCAAGGTCATCCAACGACGCGGCCGGCAACGACATCGTCAAAAACCAATAGGTTTTATAACCAAAACAACAATATTGCCTTTTCTTTGCCCGTTTTTGCACCACTACGACGTGAAAATCTAGCGATCCACAGATCCACCGATCCATCGATCCACAGATCCATCGATCCATCGGAACACAGTGATCCAGCGATCTACAGTGATCCAACGATCAAGCGATCCATCGGTGGATCGCTAGATGGGTGGATTGGTGGATCGCTAGATAGATGGATTGCTGGATCGTTGGATCGCTAGATCGATGGATCTGTGGATCAATGGATCGCTACATCGACTGATCTACAGATTGATGGATCTGTGGATCTCTGGATCGCTAGATCGATGGATCTGTGGATCGCTAGATCGTTGGATCGGTAGAATGATGGATCTGTGGATCAATGGATCGCTGGATCGCTAGATCGATGGATCTGTGGATCTCTGGATAGCTAGATCGCTGGTTTTGTGGATCGATGGATCTGTGGGTCGCTAGATCGCTGGATCGGTAGAATGATGGATCTGTGGATCAATGGATCGGTGGAACGCTGGATCGCTAGATCGATGGGTCTGTGGATCTCTGGATAGCTAGATAGCTAGATCGAAAGATCGATGGATCTGTGGATCGCTGGATCGCTACATCGAAGGATCGCTGGATCGCTAGATCGTTGGATCACTGGATCAATGGTTTTGTGGATAGATGGATCGCTAGATCGATGAATCTGTAGATCGCTAGATCGAAGGATGGCTGTATCGTAGGATCGCTAGAACGATGGATCTGTGGATCGATGGATCGCTAGATCGTTGGATCGAATATTCGTTGTATCTGTGGATTGCTGGATCGCAAGATCGTTGAATCTGTAGATTGATGGATCTGTGGATCGCTGAATCGATGGATCGTTAGATCGATGGATCTGGGGATCCATGAATCGATAGATCGATGGATCTGTAGATCGGTGGATCGCTAGATTACCGGATCGCTAGATCGATCCAGCGATCCATAGATCGATCGATCTAGCGATCCACCGATCCAAGGATCCTGCGGTCCATCGATCTAGCGATCCATCGATCCACAGACCCATCGATGTATACGTCCATCGACCTATAAATGCAGGGATCTAAAAATCCATTGATTTACTGAAAGTAACAACTTTAGCTAGCAAAATGCGATTCAGCCGCCATTGTTTTCGTTTTCAAAGCCGGCGCTTTTCGCTACTAGAGGGCTATAACATATAGCCTAGTAGTAGCTAAACCAATCAGAACGCAGCATTGATAACAGATTTTACTACACATGTATATCATTCTCTCTTTGCACTGTAAATAGGTGAAAGGTTAAATATATTTTGTAATTATTTTACGTGTTAATCAGGTGAAGGGCAACTCGGTGGATATGCTGAATTAAATCCATTAAATAGGTCATCAAAAATGCGGTAAAAACTGAGTGGCACACGAGCTGCAGGCGAGTGTGTCACTGATGTTTGTTTTAAACAATTATGAGGACAATTATCCGATCCCTGGGGGGTACTCCCTATAATGGCCTCTACGGGGAGGCTCCGCCCGAAAGGGGTATCTTTTTCAGGCTTCAGGTATATGAAAGCGTGGGAATTTCACTGTCATTTGGGTCTGTTAAGGGCACAACAGGGCTAACAGATGAATTTTTTTGGCTTTTGTAAGTCGAGAAAACGTTCATTTTTCCCGACTAATTCCTATTTACAAGTCAGTGCTTTGACAGCAGTTACTATAAAAGTGATGACAAGTTCTAAACAAGATATATGAAAGGGGTACCATTTGTCAATAGGGGTACCTTTTTCGTGAAAAATAGTATATAAAAGGGTAAGGGGTTGGTAAAACATTTTTTTGAGTACCACTTCACTCGAAATCCAACTCGAGGGGTACAGGGGGTTACTAAGGGCTACAATCAATGAATCAATCAATACATTGATTTAACTACGCCAGCCACACAAAACAAAAGCTGATTTCCAGGTAGGGCGTAGGCAGACACACATTACAAAAATAGAGGCAATATGGTGCTCACTATCGGAACGGAAAATGTTACAAAATTCCAGAGAACAATCAATTAATATACATAAAAATTTATAATACAGCTAGTTTTTAAATATATGTTGGTGGGAGTTTTTGAAGAAAAGGAGAATAAGTTTAAAATATTCACACAAACAACTTATGGAATCAGACAGATCCAGCAGAAAGCAAAGATGAAAGTTTGCGTTTATATAGACCTATCTAGCTGGTATCTTTTGTTTTTCCAATAGAGGTTCCAGGGAAACGTGACTTTATTATTTAAGTTTTATGTCGACCCAATGAGCATTAACTTACATTTGGAATTGGAAACTCAGAGGTTTTCTATATGAGAATTGATATTAGTAAGAACATCTGTGTCAAAACTAGAGAAAAGATTTGGATATCATCCGCAAAGGGTTACAAGGGGTAACGCGAGGTAATAAGGGATTACAGATGGTTACAAGGGGCTACAGGGGGTTAAAAAGGATTACAAACGGTTAGAGGGGTTTCAAAGGTATACAAGGGGTTACCGGGGGTTACAAGGGGTTGATGAGGTGGGTGTCGTTTTGTATCAATTAACATTTCCAAGTGAAAACCCATTTTCACGAGCAAGCTTTTGCACTTAGCCTCATTTTAAAAGTAAGAGTTTTTGGAACGCGGTAATGGCCTATTATTACACCACAACAGAAATAAGCAGGATTTTTTTGATTATTCATAAAATTAAATTCTTGATTAGATACATGACCTGCGACTTGCGACCTGCGGATAAGACACGCCGTCACAAGAATTACCATGGTAAGATAAAAAGGCACGATGCAGGGCTGTTTAAAAAGGCCAATCACCGTTAAAAGAGTTCGTTGCCTGTTGCAAGTGTTCATTCGCTGCTACTTAGCTTCTGAAGACCTTCGTTGGGGCATCTTTATTGCTAACATTTTCCCGTAGTTCTCTTAATGTATTGTCTTTGGACATTAGCCATGACCTCGCCATCTTCCAACAGGTCAGAAGTATGTGCAGAAGGGGCAGCAATCATGCGATGCGGTTTTCACGGCTTTTTTGATAACGTTTTGATCTGTGATGCAGAGTTGCGAAAAATGAAATGAAAGAATGCCTCTTGTTCAGTTTCTTTTTAATATGATCCCCCTATTAAGCGAGAAGACCAAAGAGAACAGATTTAATAGTTATAAAGATGTTATTTGTGAAAATCACTTTGTTCGCTGTTCTTCTGGCAACTGGTTTCTCTGACTAGAAACAGAAAATAGCTGTAATATGAATGGCGTTTATTTTCCATACATACGTAAGTTTACAACGGTTTGAAGGGCACTGAGTGGAAATCAAACCAAGCTAAAAGCACACCGGCATTTAGACCAACAATTCAACTACCACTACGATCCAAGCTATATACTATTATGGTATGGATTCCTGTTGTTCATTGGATTTAAAATTTTAAGTTACTTACTGCAGGGAATTGACCGACGAGAATATAAAAAAACGCCACAGAAACATGTGGCCTAGCTATTTTTTATACTATTTTTTGTTTGTTTTCTAATTAAGTCACATGTATCCCGGCTGCATCTGATATCCCGGAGGGAACTGTTGGGGTGGCATGCCGGGAACCACGCCCATATTAGGCACCATGCTTGGTCCGGCTGTAAGCATCAGCTGGTCTGCACCTAATAAGTTCAAACAAACAACACCTCTTCAGAAACACGTAAAACCTTTCCAAATGGTTGCTCTTACAATTCGCTACTTTAGAATCGAGAAGGAAACTAGGGCCGAAAATGCGTCGCGCGATTGTTTCTGGGATCTTTACTGGTGTCGCGCCGTTCTGCTATTGGCCAATTTTTTCCTTGTCCCCAGTAACAGTCCCAGAAGTTTTTTTCGAAAGTTTACTCGGCCCAGTTTTTTTCAGGTTTTAAGGTAGCGAATGAACACCTGTCAGGGGAAAAAGTTCTCTTGGTCCCAAGGGTAACAACCTTTGGAACACCATTATTTCGAATTCCTTAGGGGTTAGGGGGGAGGAAATTTGAAAAGACCTTGCGCTTCTTTCTCCCTTTCCCCAGGGAAAAGCCTGATGAACAGGCTACCATACATGACTCAATTCCTACCACTATAATAACGAAACCTATATGATTCGAACAGTTGGGTTTGTCGCTTCGGTGTCCTCATTCGACTTGACAACACTTCATACAACCCTACCACTAATACAGACACGTCTGTAATGCGCACAGTTCGCTCTGTCTGTGTCTATCTCATAGAAGTAAGACCATTCTTCACTTTTTTAACCCACAATCGGTGGAGCTGCAGTAAAAAGATTTGTTAGGATGGGCTTGTAACAATACTGCTTACGACAGTAATATGGACTTGATTACTAACATATGAACCCTCAAAATAATAAATCGAACGCTTATGTACGGTATAGCTATAACACCCATCGCAATACTTAGGAAACTTTATTTTCCACCCACTATATTTTAACACATTGCTGTTTTTCGTCTCCATTTTCTTTTTAGGGCCTTTTCCATGGCCAGCATCGTAGAAGATGTTTTTACTCCTCTTCTTCAAGTATGGTTTAACACTTTAAGCCTTGAAGATCCAATATCCACATACAAGTTCTCCAGACTGATATGCATACATTTCCCTACACAATTAGTTGGGAGAATTGGATAAAAGATCAAGGCATTTTCCCTGTAGTGATCATTTTAATAATTCCCATCACCTTTTTCCTTGATTATGTATTGATGTTAAGAGAAAATTGATGATTGTCACTGATGCATACCGAACACAATTGGTTGATCCTGTTTGCTTTCTTCCTGATCCTTTCTCTCGGCTTCTGACACGGCCAGTTTGTTCACCTTTCAAACAAAGTAAAGAATGTTATAAGCTCACGCTACCACGAACATGAGCCACATAAAACCATGCACAGAACTACTTAACCTCGATTTCCGGCGCTCTCTCAGTCCTCCCCGAGAAGAGACTGCCTGTTGGGGAGAGTAGCGCGGGCTCATTTGCCAAACAGCGGTTGGTAATCAAGAAAAAGAACTACTGCGCACGCGGCAAAAGACCGACCACTATACAATAGCACAGCCGACGCTCGTCCTTGATGACTCTTTCCCTATGCATTTAAATCCATCAACCTTGTTGCGCAGTGGACGCCATAATGGAGTAGTAGGATCTACTTCCTTCACAAAATTACGAGTAATTAATTCTTGTGGCGTGTCTAATATCTGCATTGTTATCAGCAATGGTGTAGTACAAATTTAATCCATAGCTAGGGAAAAAATCACGTTCAAAATTACGTACATTCCAAGTTATAACGGTTGGAACAAAATGTTTGACTAATAGCTGCAGAAAAATAAGACTAAATACTTGGGGCGGACTTTTGCCCTTAGCAGGGACACCTCGTGACCCTTACATGCAGTACTAAGTGTCGTTTTCGCAGTGTTGTTTGCGTGCCGTTTTAACTGATTTATATCAATAGAAGGAATCTCACCTTATCAATGTATTCTTTCATGACTTGCACCATATAAGGCATAGCGAAGTCGATGAGATTGTGCCTCCATGCCAGCTCAAGCACAACATCTGGGCTGAGCAGATCATAGCACATGAACAGGCACGCGGCAAAGCACTCATGGTTGCCTATTTCCAAGAACCAGTGGATAAGATCTTCTGCTGTGGCACAGTTACGGGATTCAGCGGCATACAGCATGGCGTCCTATAAAGAGAAGATCAGTTTAACCCCTTCATACCGACTGGAATGCTTGCAATCCGCCTTTTCTCTCAAACCAAAAAGGAACGTTCCGGACATTATACGTTTCTGGAAAACTGCCCACCTACCCCTCCCCTAAGCCAACATTAACACTTACTTCTCACTTAGGGCAAAATGTTGGCATAGGGGATGGGTAGGTGGGCAGTTTTCCAGAAACGTATAATGAGCCAAAGTTCCAATATCCACATACCAATTCTCCAAACTGATTTCAATACATTTTCTTACAGAATAAGTTGAGAGAATGTGATAAAAGATCAAAGCATTCTCCTTTTGGTAATTGATACTGATAGGAGAAAACTGATGTTGGTCACTCTTGGGACTTAAGGCGATGTTACACGAGACGATTCGCAACGACGATATACCTTTCTGCACGTACCGTGGTACGTAGGGACCACGTTTCTAGCAACACTTAAAAATGTATCAAGATATAACCACCTTGTAAAGCTTGTCCCTCTTACAAAGCTCCACAGACTGCTGCCAGCGATTGTTGCCCTTGTAAAGATAAGCAGCTATACGGCGGAACTCAATAAGCTCGTGCTTCTCTAGGCGTTGAGCCAGCGCAATGTTGTCAAAGTTGTCAAATGCATCGATAGATGCACGGAGGCCATTATAGTCTTCTTCATCAATAAGAAGATCATTTAAAGCTTCATTGATGGCCTTGTTGTTGTGACTTTGGACTGAACGGAGGTAAGGCTTCACAAGCGGAAGATGGTTGACCTGAAACAAAACCAGCAATTATAACCGGCAGTGTAACAACAGAGAGAACGTTTTAATTACTCTAATAAAATAGCAATTATTCGCCACTTTTTACTGGGGATGCACCAGTCAGCTATAGGTCAATTTTTTCCTGTCCCTAGTGACAATCCCAGAAGTCTTTGCGAAAGTAAACTCGGCCAGTTCCTTTCTCATTTTTAAAGTGGTGACTACCAACTGTAAAATGCAAAACAAAGAGTAACCACTCATACGAATCTTAAGATGTCAGACACCCTCCTTGACCTGCATAATTCCTCATATCAGACAATAATTGCTAATTAATGCTTAATTTACATTAATTAGGACAAGAACCAGTGAAGAGAGCACCTTTTCCCATTAATTAGACAAAATTTCTGCAAGATGAACGTATTGACTGCAAAACCCCCGCCAAAACACTTCCGGGTTATTTTACAACCAACGGAGGTGGCAAACATATAGTTGCAATTTTAGATTTCATAATTGTCACCACTACCGAGTTCACTCACCTTCTTGAAGAAATTTACAGCACGGGTATGATCCATGCGAGGAGTCAAGACCATAAGGAGATCATTGATTAGCATTGGCCTGAAGTCAAGATAGAACTGCAGTGATTTGTAGTATAATTCTATATTAGCCACTTTACAGATGACATCCTTGAATAGGGCCTCTTTCCATGCCACAGTAGGGTGAGTCATCATGGTCTGCACAGCATTGTCATACTCTTCGTACTTCTCATACAGAAACACTAATTCAGACCATAAGTGGGCTTGCTCGGCGGCACGAAGAACCTTTAAAATAAAGAATTACTTTCACCAAATGAAATCACCAGGGCTTTCATTTAGGGAGTGCAGGGCTAGGGATTCCCCTCGGCTACTATGAATGTGACCCTCACCTACCTAAAATGGAAGAAAAATAACACCAAAAGAAATCCCAGATCATTATACGTTTCTGGGAAACTGCCCACCTACCCCTCCCCTAAGCCAACATTTTGTCCTATGATCTCAAACCCCTAGCTGTTTGATTTCCTGCCTGCTTGTTGTATTTACCCAGAATGTTGAAAGCTTGGTGACTGTCACCAAATGACGTACTAAAAAAGACTGAAAAGACACTGAACAATACCCACATTAGACACAAAAGCAAACCAACAATGGTTTTTGCAAAACCAAGAAACAATCCAATTAGTTGATAGGATACTCATCCCCCTACTTAGCAACTAAAAGAAGTATCCACAGGAGCCCCAATATCTACCAAGGTCCTCATTAGAAAGGCATTCCTTATATCATGGTTCCAATGCAGTTGACATGATTTTGTAAATGAATTTTTTAAGAACAGTAAGTGCTCTCGAAGACTACAACGAGGTGAAACAACATCAAGCATCAAACCTGCTTCAGGAGCTTATTACAAAAGCTATCGCCAAAAAGGGCAACAGTGTAACCAGCTTAAGTACACTGCTATTTTGCTTTCCCATTGAATCAACTGATTTCTTTGCTATTTTTTTGACAAATGATTTGCCTTTGTTCCCAAATATCCTGCGAGCAAGCTCTCTGGGCCTTCATAGCCCTCTAGAGAGCACGGTCACAAGATAGTTCCCAAATTATTCAATGTCTAATGAAGTCTTTAGCACGGTCACTACTCACCTTAGGAATGTTAACTCTGGACCAAAACAGCTCCAAATGTTCCCTCATTTTAGTAGGTTTGTATTTAGAATACAGAATTGCTAACTCGGTGAACATGCCCATGTGAGCACGCTCCAGGCCTAATGCAGCCTCCATCAAGGATATGAGCTCTTCAAAGTAGCCTTGATTCTGGTAGAAATTGATTAACTCTTCTAATTCATCAGCGTGCACCACAATGTGAAGTCCACACATTTGTGCTAAGCGGAATTCCTCTCCTCTGACACAGGAGAAACAAACCTGGAGAAAAGGGTTGATGTGAAAGAAAAAATTAGACAGAAGTTCTGAGTCACATCCATGAACATACTGGTAAGTCAAAAATGGATGTCTGTTTTTTTTTATATTATTTTGTTTTCTTTTTCATGCATCTGTAAGGGTGGGTCACCCAATCCACTGGCTGATTTCTTTAGGCAAGTGAAAATGGAGCAGATCACTGTCTCCAGATCTCATCGCTCGATCTCATCGCTCAGTAATGAAGAATAGACATAAGACGGTTTAAACAAAAACTTGAAAGTTGCAACAGTTCTACTGAGTGAACTCAACTTTTGTAACTTACTGCTATGCAGAGACAAAAATTATCATAATTTATTTTAAGAAGTTTAATGCATGCTAACATAAGGAGTAGAGTATCACACTCTTCAAAAAGCTCCACATAAAGTGGTAAAAAATTTTCACAAACCACAAATGCAAAGTGTTTATAGCTTTGATAATTCCACAAACCTCTTTCCAAGTCTTGGTGCTGTTAGCTTTTCTTGCACTATCCACTGCTGCTTGGTATTCTCCTAAGTTAACTAAGGTTGAAGCTAATTTGGCAAAATTTGACACGTTATTATACAGAAGCTTAGCTGCTTCAAACATTTTCTCATCAAAGCATCGATCGCCAACCTGTGAGAGAGAAGTGAGAACCATGAGGTGACAATGATAAACAAATTCACTTTAAGTGTCCATCACTATTACAAGACACTATTTATTTCTGTATAAAATTACACGTCAAATGTACACGTATCTTGACTAGTTTGTCACATGTCTATGTCCTCCTGCTCCATGAAGTGCTTTTTGAAAATTTCAAAAATGTTGTGTAGAGAATGAGGAATTTTAGCCCCTCCAATCCTACAAGTGCCCAGAATGGAAATTTAACACTGAAAGTCTCCAACACAATCTTCTGATGAAAGACCTATTTAGACCCAAACACTCTGAATGTGTTTTTCTTGAATATGTTAAGACAGAGGTCAGTAATAGATTCTTTAACCTAGAATGCAGTCAACCATCTTTCTTTTCTATTCAGGCATAAATCATTAATTTTGTGAAATTACATCACTCAGTCCTAGAAGGAAAAGAGTTTCACTCTACATTAAGTGACCCAACTCTCCCTTCATCTTCAACTACACAAGAATCATTACTTGTACTCACTCTTGTTCTACAAAAATTTAAGACAAAGAAAATATTGAAAGTAAAATTAATAACCAAAGGGGCTAGCAGAGCCAGGCAGCCAGTTGACATCAGCATTAAACAGATTCAGTTCGTTAAAAACTTGAGCTGCTTTTAATGCATGTAAAATCGAAATTCAGTGATTGACCAAGGAATTTCAACTTATACTTGAGTGGAAATGAAATGCCAATGGAGACAAAAAAAATGAACACAAACCTGCTGAATTTGAGCATGGTTAGGTCCTGAAATAAATTCTTCCAGTTCAGCAAGACGGTTAGTTTTAGCAAAGGCAAAAATGAGCTCTGTTTCGACAAATGAATCTCTAGATTTCTTCTGGGCCATCTGTAGGTAGCGCACTACATCTTCAAAGTTACCTGAGAAAGCAAGGTAATGCATGTTTTAGATATGGCGCTATACCTACAGGTGAACAATCATCACCCCTTTCAAATAAAATAGGGATGGGTGGTGTGTCTGAGAGCAGACAACACAGTCAAACCCCGCTCTACTGACACAGGGTTCTCATTATGTCCCGGCAGCAGGCTAAAAAACAGGCTACTTGGAGGTTTGAGCCAAATTTGTTGGTAAATAGGGTAAAGTGGGAGGGTGAAACCCTGAAATTACCTTCAGCAGTCAGTTCCCAACCCGCCTATATTTACATCATAGCTGTCTACTTTAAAACTTAACAAAAACCCTGCTGCTGACACCTTCATTATTACGGACAGTTTGATTTGTCCCTTGGAAATGAAGGCCTTTACATTTTCTCTAAATTCTAACCACTTAATACAGACACTTTTAATGGTCCCCTCAGTGTCCATATTAGCAGGGTTTGACAGTACACTGTAGTTCTGAAAAGACATAAACTAGAGATGCAAACCAAGTGAGGAAGGGCAAGAAATTGGAAAAACTAAACAAAAATATTGGACTCGAATTACATGAAACAAACGCTACAATACTGACATGACTACATAGTTTCACCTCAACTCTCCCAGACATTAAGTTAAGTAAGCAAGAAACAACAAGTATTGGTTAAATCTACCTTCTCTGTTTGCAGCTTCAACAACCTCAGTATATGCAGAAGGATCATCGGCTTTGATAAAGCAATCAATAGCTTCTTTCACCATGTTCTTTTGTAACTGAGCTTTAGCTAACAAACTCCATACTGCTGCTTCATTGCATCGTTCAGCAAACTCATAGGCACGGTCCAAATTTTGAACATTTTCTATCAACACCTGAAGTCAATGAAAATTAAAAATTTAATGTTACTATGCCAAACATCAGGTAAGCCAGTTCCTAGAATGGTGAAACTAAGAAAGGCACTGACTTATATGGATGTTAAAAGCTAAGTAATAAGTTATTATAAAGCTCAAGCACTGATTTCCCAAAAATTTAAAAGAACAATACAACCCCGTTAAGGCACTAATGGCCATAGGAATTTGAACAAATTAACCCGTTAATTCCCAAGGGTGACCAACATAAATTTTCTCCAACAATACAAATACATCATCAAGAGAAAAGGCTTTGAGAATTACAAATTACAGTGTATAAAAATTATCACCAAAGGGAATTTTTAAGTTCTTTTGTCTAATGCCCAGTTGGTTGGGTGGCCACGTAAGTGAAGCGAATTTGTATAGAAATGCTAGCCGTGATCCATTCAAAAATTGCCAGAAATTTCGGTCCAAAACTCAATGGATCGGTTCAGCCCGACCAGAAAAGTTTCGACAAAACTGGTCCACCTTTTGAGGTGGACAACTTTTCCCGGTCAGACCGGTTGGAATTTTGGTTGCATAGATCGCCCCCATTACATATTGGGGTGTCAGAATGGGGCCACTGGCTGCATTAATGCATTTTCTTTGACGAAAACTTTTGTGATTCTGTCAGAAAAAAATCAAATTGGTTATAATAACAAGCTAACTGTATAAATGAGGCTTTCACATAGAATCAGACTGTACCTGAATGGCAGATGTGTTAACATCAAATTTCTTGAAAATTGCAAAAGCTTCTTCATAAAGTTCACTACCAATAGCAATGCTGGCAATGTCAGGGGCATCATAGTTGTCCAAGCGAGTGATGTATTCCATAACACGTGTCCGATCAGCCTTGATAGCTGTTAAGATCAGCAAGTTTTGCAGGTTTCTGGAAGATAAGCAAAAATAATTGTGTAAGGTAAAGTAAATATGCCACTCAATTTAGATGAGGAATAAAATAATATTTCTTCACATATTTTTTTTTAGCAAGTAAAGATCACAATGTTTTAACAAAGCACTTGGGTTCAAGACTGGCCACTATTAAAGAGTATACGTCCAAGAATCATAATTTCCTCTTTTCTTTCTTTGGAAAAATGAAATCTAAGGGAAGATTTGCTGTCCTTTATTATACACTACACATAAACGATGAGCAATGAGATAAGTACTTCTGTGCTCATTCAATGAATAGAGGGATTAAGAGTCACGTTTATGCTTAACAGTAAACGTGAATTTGTACCATGTGACAAAGAAGTAGTTTCGCGCCAGTTTTATTCGTAAGAATTGTTCTGGACAGTTTTCAACTGCTTATTTTCTTTTCTATTAATGACTCCTTAATCTCTCTAATACTTTTAGTAGTCCCTCCATACCTGTGGTCACTGAAGACAGAATTTTCAAGGACAATCTTCTCCAGAAGTTCAATGAGTTCATTAGGAAGATCAGCTGTCATGAACGCTTTGACTGTGCAAGATACATCTTCAGGATCCTGAGTCTCAGACAGTGCTGTTTGTACAACCTTAGAATAAAAACAATGTGGTTTAAGCTGAAGTATTTTTGTCCATTTGAAAAAAAGGGAGGGCCTGGGACAGATCATGTTGAAGGGAAAGACAGATGGGAAAAAGGAAGAGGAAGACGAGAAGGCAGTGGGAAAGGGACATATGGGATGTTTTCAACATTTCCCTGAGAGAAGTTGGAATATTGGCAGAAACTATTTCTGCTGTGCAGTCAAGGATGCACAACCTATGGTGATAAGCAGTTAAAGCAGTAGTTTAAGGATAACAACATGTGCTTCACTGCTTTTAAATTTGAGCCTAAAAAATTTATGAACCACAAAGAGGGGTGCTTTAATGACTATAAATAACAATCTCATTGACTTCTTTGATCTAAGCTGACTGCAATACAGACACACCTTTAATAATGCCATTAACACAGCAAAGATAATGGCAACCAAAATGAAAAGAAAAAACAAACTCTAATAAGCAAAACAAAAGCTATGGACATGCATCACACCTTTTGGAATATTTCTATTTCATCCAATGCACAACTGCAAAGTAACTTTTCTAATGTGACATGTTGTGAAGAATTGACAAAGTACAATGAATTTTCTTGTCTCTTAAAAAATGGATGCATGCTTTAAGAATTCAACTCCAAGGAAATGTGCCTACACTTGACTAACTGAGCAATTAAGAATAAAGGGGGTGAATGTGAATGCATTATTTTAATCAGTGACTTTTCTCAGCGGCAGTTGATGTACACAAGCACTGTAATTTAGCTTGATTTACCTGATCAATAAGTTGTCGACGGAACTGGTTGGTCTCCTGCAACACTTCTGCCCAAAGATCTGGGTCTCTTCTCCGCACCAGATATCTTGCTAGGCTTTTGAACAATGAGTTTTCATTACAGACCTTAAAAAAGAAAGGTGAAACCATTATACATAAAAATTTCTGCAGGTACTTTACATTAAACCTGTCAGACCTATAAATATTTAATTCAATTCACTTCTCTCAATATGCCTGGACTAATTCTAAGTTACAGGCTATAGATTGATTTTTACAAGAAGAATTCTTGTACAGAATAAATGTTTAAGTTTGAGTGTGACTGTGTGGCCATAGTTAAAGCTGTCACGAGTGGACACCCTCTGGAAGTAAAATAGCGACTGTACAACTGGCGGTGTCTCTATCAATGCAGCTGCAAGTAGAACTGTCCCTTTAGAAGAGTGTCTGTTAGAGAGATTTTTACATGATACTGAAATGACTTTCATTCCTGAATAGGTTTTATTCTAGAAAGAAGTTCCCGAATATACTCATTCAGGAATGTGGATGAACTCTTGTTTGAGCATAATTTAAACAAATGCAGAGAAATATTATAAATACGAAGATGGAAAGAACTCGTTCCAGAATTGAAGGCATTCTGGTGTCAAGTAAACAGCCCATAAATAAAACAAACTTTTTAAATGTTTACATTAAAGTAGTGAGCCGAAAACTGAGAGTGAAAAATAATGATCTGACTACTTCTAAACTGGGATTTGTACAGAAAATTTGTACCTTTATGAGCTCTGCATCACACTGCCCTCTTTCATATGCTATGCAAGCCAAGTGCGGATCTCTCTTTTCACAATATTTTCCGACAACTTTGCTGTCATAATAAGGATTTTCCCTGAAATAAAAATTTTATTTCAAGTTGTAAATAAATCACAACTGGTTAATTGAACACTCTTGCCACAGGTTAAGCACTGTCAGCCCTCTACACGTGCTCTTGGCCAGTAATTTTGTTCGATTGCTCGTATAAAGTTAATTGACATGCATTTAAATGAAGTTTAAAGGAGTTAACAACAAAGAGCATCCACAGTGCCAGAGATCTGTGGTCGTTTTGCAGGCACATACTTGGTAGTTCGCTACATCGTCCACATGTTTCAGTGGCATGTTTAGCTTCCTTCATGCTCATTGTCCATGCCACAAGCTTTCTTTCTGCCATTTCCTTAACTGTACACACTCCTAACAGGGGGTGGAGATGGTGGGAATTTTCTCTTTGTGCTGCAACATATATACTGCCTACTACATGACGTGCACATTTACATTTGACAGGGTTGTTCCCTAATGGTGCAGTAACCCCTGAGAAATTGATAAATTTGTGACCAATTGAGTCATTTGCTGACATTTCTGTGTATGTCACAGTCTTACTAGCTGCTATAAATTTGCCTGAATAGATCGTTAATTAGCATCCTCTGTTAACAATCCAACTAATCTTTACCTTTGCAAGGAACTGTAGACTACAGATTAAAAGAATACCTAACTGTCAAGAGACACTTCACTAACCTAAGGAATCGCTCTGGATTGTTATTGGCATCAATATAAATCTTAGCCAGAGCATTATGAGTCGCAGGTTCTTCGGAACCATCATGAATCTTGGCCTCCAGCCAGGGGAGTAGCAGTTTGAGTCGGTTTCTTTTTTCCACTTCTTCAACCAGCTCATCAGTAGAAAACTGACCACGCACAGCCATCATAAGACTTTTAATGATATCCTCTGAGCAATCAACGTCCAGTAAGCCTCCAACCACTATGGGGAGACGAGATGGATTCACCTGGAAAAAAACAAACACAAGCAAGATCATTTCAGAGTAAAATTACACAGCAAACAAACGAAGAAACTAGCAAAGAAAGAGGCGCTAAGAGGCAAAGGCAAGGAAAGGTTTAGATTACCAAAGGCCACCTACTTTCAATTGAAAAATGATGGATTACTATCAAACTCTTACAACATTAAGGACCAGAAGATACGATGTAGGCAGGGTTGTCATTGAGAGCCAGGGGCCAGGGATATTCCCTGGCTACTATGAGTGTGGCCCCTGGCTACTTTTATTGGAAAATAGAAGAAAAATAGAACTAAAAGAAATCCCTAGCTGTTTGATTGCTCGCCTACTTGTTGTATTTACCCAGCAACTTGAAATCTTAGTGACAACCCTGTGTGGGTTTGGGTGCCGTTAATGGACCAGCTTTATAACATGACCTTGACTTCCCACAACCTTACCTTTTGTACATAGATCTCAATGTACTTTTGAAGGTTGTTTCGATATAGATACAACACCAAGTCATGCACAAAATCGAATCTGTCACAGACAATGATCAGGGGAAGTTGGTCAGTCAGCTTAGCTTCCTGAAAGAAAGATAGACAAAAAATAAATAACAGATAGAAAACCAGACCAAATGACGTAACTTGGCATTAACAAAATTTACAATAAATCTAGAATTAACAACAAGTTACCTTGAGGAAGTTTTTTACTTTTTCTGCATTATAACAGTTACTTTCTCTGCAAATACGTTCCACCTCCTTAACTTGGCCAGTTTTACAAGCAGCCTGAAGAAAAAAAATACAGAAAAAGGTATGAGGTAAACACTATCGCATTAGAGTAGACACTTAGTGCTTCATTGACTTTACCTGAATGTACTTGAAATGCACATCTGCTTCCTGGCTGAAGTTTACAATAGATCCCAGGAAATAGAACAGTCCTAAAAACACACAACAAAGTGACAACTTTTGGATTGAATAGCTACAGATCTGAAGTTTAGAATTTTTTTCACTATTCTTAATGATGCAATCAATTGTATTTGAAAAATCCATTTTCAAGTTTAAAATTAACAAGACAACGCCTGAAGGCATTTACGCGGGATGTGTTGGTGTAAGTAAGAATTATGTTGAATGGCATTGGAAAGTTGAGCAGTGTATCAACAAAAAATGTGTGTAGGAGAGATGGAGGGTTTCTGTTAAATAAACTAAAAGATGAGTTACACACAAGGGTTCCTTTACTAATCAAAACAAAACTTACATCAATGTTACCACTATATATGTTAAGAGTATAGGGTGGTTCACTAACATTTGCATTCCAGCTTTACTAATATCCTCAATAAATGCACTTCCACATTCAACAATGTAATGTATCGGACTTCCCATAACTGCAGGGCCCAAGGCTGTGCTCTAAGGAAAATTTTCAGGGAGCCCTCCCATGCATTTTAGCTGGGACGCCCAGGCAAGCAAGGTTCACATAAATTTCAGTAATCTACAAGACAAGTGATCATAATGATCATTCCAGAAGAATATTTTAAGTTTCAAGACATTTACCTTCAAAACTCTTGAATGACTCAAAAAGCTCAATCAGAGCAGCAGTGGTGAGTTGTTCGTGATACTTGGTGGCCACTTGGACACAGATCTGCAAATTCTGCCGAATGTTGTGAGTGAGCATGGCACGCAAGCATTCCAAGGAATCCTCCACGGACAGAGATCCAAAGTAGTTTACGAGCCACTGCAGGATTAAATGTATATTCTCTATTAATTTTAGAAATTCCTTTTACAGGTGGAAACTATATAAGAAAAAAGAAAGCAACATTGATAGAAACAAATGTATTACCTCAGGATTGAGCAGGTGAGTGTGGACAATGGCTCTCTTGATGTCAAAGATGTCTGTGTAGTGCTCCAGGGCCTATAAAGACAACAAACAAAGAAATGTTTCTTTTAATAGTTTAACTCACAATCCAAGGTTCCTTATTAAGGGAAAATGTCCTATAAAGGCCTTTTTTTCTTTGGCTTTAATAAAAGACATGTGAGGAAGTATGAAAGCTCACTCACCCTTTGCAAGAGTCCTGCATTTTCACAGAGCTGGGCAATGTGTGCTCTATCATAATGAGTAAACATCTGGTTTCCGAGGATGGCATCTGCAACCTGTTTGAACAAGCATATATTCGACTAGTTATAAATTGTAAATCTTCACCTCAATGATTGCTAATTATACCATTGTGATCTTTTTAATAACATACAGACTGATCAAACTTCATACAGAATTAGTCAAAAATTGGCACAGTTATTAGCCCTTTAAACTCTAACATCCAAATTTCTATTCTAATTGTTGGCTGTAAACATTTTCGAAAGAAGCAGTTGGGAAAGGTTGTTTAAGTCCAAAAAGCTTTGCTTTGACCTGGGATGGTGTACCCTAGAGCAACGTCAGATTGACAGTCGGCTTATGGCCCTCTTCAAGATCATCAGGGGACTCCTCCTGCTTCAAACTAGCCTGTCCTCTGAGTATGTATCCTTTTTCTCAAGAACAATTATTCAATGGAACAATTTGCCTCCTTCTGTCTTCAGCGAACACTGCTCTTTAGATACTTTCAAAGCCCATGTAAGCTGCCTAAATCATCTACCTGTTTATTAAGCCTATTACAGTAACTTTTTTTTGTTTTGCTTTTGTTTTGCTGACCAACCCAGCCAATAATCCTCAAATGTGAGGGGTTGGCTGTGCACGGTAAATATAAATGTTAATGTCTGATCATGTCCTTTATTCTTATTACCACTCAGTTTTATAGAGAACCGATATTATAGGAGAAATTTCATTCTGATCACTCTTGTTTGAAATGATTAATGAGTCCTGCAAGAACTAACCTGAGGTGCAGTAAGTAGGTTCATCTCTAGCAGCCTTGTCTGCAAATGGCTTTCAGTGGGACGGTTGTTTTTAAGAGCATCAAGGAGGAATGATGTACAGGCCTGAACTTGGTTGGTCTCCATGAACACATCTACAATCTGAAATTTTCACACGGACATAGTCTTTTGATACAAGCACTTAGGTCAATGAAACTTTCTCTTGTATAAAAAATTTTGCATACAAAAACAATTACTTCAGTTTACAGAAAAAGTAGCTGACTTCTCTGAGTGAAGTAGCAATTGATTTTCAGAGTTTATTGAAAGCACTGGAACAACAAAAACTACAATTTTTGTTGAATATGGCTAATACTTTCTTTCTTTTCTTTCATTTTCCTTTTTAACAAAGTTCTAGTTACCTGACTAAGGTCTGCAAGTGGCTCTCCTTCATCTTGTACCAGCATTGTGGCAAACTGACCGCCAGTCTCTGGGTTGACCCTCATTAAGTTCCGCAGAAGGAAGATATAGTCAGGTGTGTAGCCAACCTTCTTTGCATATAACACAATCTTTTGGAACTGGCCTGTTTCAGCAAAACACTGAATCACCTGGACAAAGACAAGAATACAGTCCCGGAAAATGTAAGTTGACAATCACTTAACACCTGAAAACTCTACTCAATCCTAAAAGCAGAGTTTTTGCATCTTCAATCACCCCCTTTTCTAAGACACCCTGGCTTTACAATTCCTTCTGAGTTTTAATGTGAAGTAAACAACCAACCCAACAGGAATTTACAGCTACTTTCATAACGTTTTGTTTTGACAGGACTACAGAAGATGCTGAGACAGAGGTACATTTGACAAGACTAGCAAAAGAATAGACTTAATTTACCTTGCTTGGTACATTTGCTCGGAGATACACTGAAAGAGCAAGAGTAGGATCAACTTGCTTCACCAGATCACCCAGTTCTTCACTGCATTCCAGCTGTAGGGAGAAGAAATGAATCAATTCAGAAATTATAAAAAAAACAACAGAAGAACAGAAGTGAGTGAAACAAATCCCAAACAGAAAATGTGCGCCTCTCAGGAAAAATGCAGTTGTTTCACAGACTTTAAAGCCATCAATCGAAAGATGGTGATAGAGATATTCATCACAGAGGCTTGTACACGTATGTACACAGTAAATTTAATAAGCTTTGCAGGTTGCGACTTGCACTCAAAATCTGCTATTTACTTCTTAAAAATTCTTCCCCATTGAGTTCCTTTTCACATAAATCACTGTTTCAAAACATGTAAAACTTCTGTTGCTCCTTTTTTATTTTACTTTATTTTCAGGGTTACAATTAGTTGATCACTGTATTCTACCCACTGGCTGCCACATGCTATATGCTACGTCATGGTTAGGTTTAAGTTTTCAGTCACAACTCACTGAAATTCCAACTTTATATCCTTCATCACATTTCTCAACTGTTTCTCTCCAAAGGAAAATAGGGAAGAAGGAGTTTTTGGTGCTTTTGTTTTCAAAAACACTGAAAATTGAACTTGAAAAAGTAGGACATAACTGTATTTCAGTTTGAAGTTTCTTTCATTTAACATGTTCTTGCAGTTTAAAGCAATAACCAAAACATTGTGATAAAGCCCACTTTAAGGCACAGAAATCAACTGTAAATCCTGCAGTTACCAATATGAAAGGAGCACAAAGAGGCAAAATGACAAAAAATAAAATAAAATAAAAATAATAATAATAAATAATGAAAATAATAATAATAAAACAAATTGACCAGCAGCAATCTACCTTCTCTTCCTTTAGCCATTTCTCAAGAAGCTGTTTCCTTCCTTGTTGTAGAACAGGTTTGCAGAGCTCCAAAGACTCAAACTTGTTGAGTTTACCCTGGTCTAACAAAATACCAAAATACTGCAACAAAGGAGAAGTTTGGCCCTGTTGGGATGGCACCTGCTGAAATCGCTGGATGGTTTGCGGTGTTCGCAGGACACCCTATGAAAACAAAGCAATGATCATTACTCATTAGTTGTGCACAGCAAATACCAATAAGAAAGAATCATTTAAAACATTTTATGGCAGTAATAAAGGGGATTGGGGAAAAAAAGAAATGATTTAAGAATAAGGTGTGGGGTGCCTTTTCTAGATTTATGTAATATCTTCTAAACTGCAAGGTCCATAAGCAAAAGAAACGGATGTATTGTGTACCAGAAATCCAAGAAAACATTTTGGATCCAGCACAATTTGAACTCATATCCAATTTGTAGCAATCCATTACAAGTGTAACTATTGTTTAAAGTCTGAAAACAATTTACCTCTGTAAATTACACATGTACAAGGTTTGTTGACTTAACCTATGGACACTTTAGTACGAAAACATGTTCGACATATTAAGATGCATCCATTATTGCTTACCTTTGGAGCATTTGCAGCAACTATTGCTGCCTCTGAGTACTGCATATTGTTGAACAAAGTGTTGAACTTTCTAACAAACAGCTCCTCAGCTCCAGCCAGGTTGTTTCTCACGGCCAGGCGAAGGGCTAAATCAGGATTCTGGAGTACATTGGTGATGTATGGAATAATGTTGTCTTCCTCAACACTCACAGATAATACCTACAAAGACAAAGTCTTGTCACTTGAAAACCTTCAAGATAGAAAACTATATACATGTACAACTTTTTTTAGAGGCTATTTTCACTCAAAATTTTTTTTTCCTAAATACTTGAACTCCAAGAGTGAATGATGGAATCTTGTAAGGTGGTTCTAACCACCCAGTCCCTAAATTAGCTGACTGACTTTGTATACAAGTCAGTGGGTGAATTTACAAGACTGTGCTCTACAAAATACTGAAAGGAGGAGCCCAGTGCTATGAACCTGTGAAATCCAGGGTGCCCCGCATGTGAGCTTCTATGAAAAAACTAAGATTTTCCAGTCACACAGGAATAAAAGTTAGGTGCTAGGGGGTGACTGGGCACTGCTAGAGCATAGCCTTTTATTGTGTGGCCAACCAAATAAAACCTCTTTGCCAATACTTTCACATGGCTTTTTTTTGCTATTTATCAAGTTGCAAAATAAAATTTTGGCTTTGGCCACATTTGGAAGCAAAAGAGTTTGCACACAAAACTAAGTGCACTTCCACTTAAAACAATGCATTTAGTGTTTATTGAACATAAAGAGAGGTACCTTACTCAGGTGTATTGACATATTTTTGTTTACAAACGCAATAAATTGTTTACCACAAGACATCTGCAACATTAATATTTTGAAAAGTATAAATGTTGTGTAGCATACCTGTCCTTTTCTGTTCACACCAATTATACCCTCTGTAGGCTCATGTGGTGCTGTTACAAAGATAGTATCACCACTGATTCGGTTCATGTAAATGCAAGACCCACTTTCCACGTCATACAAATGAATGTATCCATATTTGGTAATAAGGAAGATTATGCCATGTTTCTGACTGACCTAAAAAGCCACACACATTTTTTAAAAGATAAGCACTGGTTCAGTTGAGCAAGAAAGCACTCTGTATATCCCCTACTACATTGACAAAACAATGTTGGAGTAACAAATTTTTTATTACTAGTTACATTGTAATAATTGATATACAGTCATTTCCTTTTCCAAAATGATGTTTGAGTTATGGTTTGAGGACAAGAGATTGTTGTGCATCACTTCACACATTTCACCTAACAATGAAATTTATCAAATAAACTAAGACTATGAGCTCTGCATGTAAGATTTTATACACAGTTTACGATAATTTGCGTGTATTTTCTCATGTATTTTAGCAGACTTTTTTCTACAAGTTTTGTGAAATAAGGCAGATTTACATGCATGGAATATGGACGTAATGCTGCTTTTTCTGTGGCCTGTATTGTACAGAGGTCTGACTAAATTTAATCTGTTCCTTGAACAAATTCTCCTTACTGTACCATTAACAATATTAGGAGAACAATATGAAGAATATTCATGCAGATAAAAGAGGTTAAAAAGGTCAATAACTAATGATGTAAATCCTACCTGCATTGCAACTGGAAAGTCATTTTGAGCTTCTGGAGGAAAGAGAACTTCCACTGCCTTTTTTGGAAATGGCTGATTGCCTGCAGGAGGGGTGCCGACCTCTATGACATGCAACTGTAAATAAACAAGAGCATGTTTTAGAAAATTAAGAAAAGAAGCTTCAGGTACAACTACTTGACAATAACATAACAAAACCAAGTGAAGGCCCTTCAGAAAAGAATAGTTTCATACACAAGATGTGCCATCAATCGAAAGATGGTGATAAGATAATATTCCTCATAAGGGCTACAGATGCTTGGATAATATAATTATCACAGTGTAGTACAAATGTACATGCAGATTGCCTGCGTGCAGACGTCTCCTATTTCCTTTGTTGCACGCGGAAAAGGGATGTCTGCGTAACGCCGTCGCTAATCGTGTTCCAGTGTCCCGCTGGCAGGGTATTCTATTTCGCATAAATTGTGAAATAATATCCGGTTAGAAATAAGAGTTGACAGGCCAAAGCTCGTGATACGGGCGAAACGTGACCTTGAGAGTCTGCTTGAACAGAGGTTTTTCTTCTTTTCTCTCTCGCGCAAAGATTACTAGCACTACACAGTGCATGTAGCATTCTAACCTTTGACTGAGTAAATCTCATTTTTGCCGTGCTAAGGCTCACATTTAGAGGTCATAAAGCAGGTTTGTTACATGCATACTGAGTAATCATTTCCTGTGGTTTATGCTTCTGTGGGTGTTCCCGATAGGATTTGATTTCAGATACAGTTGTAAAGTGTTTAAATTTTCTTGACCTCTGTTTGTTACGGCTAAATAAAGATTTTAGTTTCTTTGGCTGGCTTTCTCCGAAATGCCTGCCTGGTGCGAAGTCCACGCCGCTTTTGTAGTTTTCTCAGACACTGTTTACAAATATGATGTGATGTGTCATGCACAGTAAATTGTAAAGAAATAATTTCCTCGTACACGTTAAATTTTCCGCGTCCCCGCACAAGATTTCGATCGCTCTGCTTTTCGATCGACGAAAAACACAGCACACAATCACACATGTTTTGATTTGTTTTGGTTAGAAAACCCCGCTTACATAAATCATTTAAATCACCGCATACATTTTCAGACCACATTCGATAACAACCAATCAGCGTTAAGTCAAACAATGCGCACTGTGTGTCAGCCTATCACAGCGTGTTCCCAAGATCATGGGAACCCAGCAGGACACTGGAACATGATTAACGACGGCATTACGCAGACGTCCCTTTTCCGCGTGCAACAAAGGAAATAGGAGACGTCTGCACGCAGGCAACATGCAGACAGTTCTATCACCTTGCCACCTTGAGCTCCTCTGACAGCAAAGCTAAACAGAGTAGATTCTTGTGCATTGCCTTCCACTTTGAACTGCATAAACGCAGCAGCATGTCCCTCAATTGGCTGACTGACTTTGCGTTCCGTTGAATACAGCTGCATTGCCCCTACAACTCTGTTTTGCTGTAACAAAGAAAGATCACAGATATGCCACAATGTATGCTAAAAATTTGACTACAGTGGAACCCTGCCCTACAGACACCCGTATAAAGCGGACAGTTTCATTTCTCCCAATGAAAAAAAGCTCTTATATTTTCTCTAAAATTAACCCCCTTAATACGGACACTATGGCATGTCCCACCTGTGTCTGTATTAACCAGGTTCCACCGTATATCCGAGCTTGTAACAACCTTAATTAGTAAAATCACATCAAAGAGAACAATAAAGACTTGGAATACATTAAACAGATGCCTGGCCTGTGATACAGACAGTCTAAAATGTCAGTATGGTCTGCTTATAAAATAACAACTCCTAAAGTTTGCTCTGATATTGTGCAAGTTTGCATGGATATCTGCATCTGTTTCTAATTGGCTACTCCAGTGCTGCTAGGATTTTAACAATAACTTAAAGGCATAAATGCATTACTCGTGTATTATGCAAACTCCACTGGCTTCTGGAATGTTCCTAATACCTTCCTATTTTATTTAAGACTAAACTACTCAGATGATTAATCACTTTGAATAGCTGTGGATTATCAGTTCGAATTAACACAAAGTTCTTCTTGTACCTGAGCTGAAATGCCAATCAGAAGCAGCCAGGTGGCATCTTTGTTAGTTCTGTAATTTATTATCTGACACCCTGCGAGACTTGAATGTCGATCAAACATCTTGAATGGTTGGGAATCACCTATGATGGATGGAAAAAAAAGAGGAACAAGTTAATGAAAATTTATCTCTTGCTGAGCTATACCAAACCCTCAGAACTTAGCCCATGCCAAAAACAAAACTAAACCACTGGTAAAATCTGTCTGCAAACCAGTGCCAAAATCCTTGTTCTGTGCCCCACTCATGTCTGTGTACTAGTATTGCACTCCATGATTGGCCTATTAAACCCATCAACAATAGATAGGTTTGGAGAAGGTGCCTGATGAAACAGAAGGGGGCTACAAGTGGGCCTAGAAGGTAACCATTGCACCCACCAGGCACCATCACACTGAGAACCTCAGCGGAAAAAGGTGCAGATACTTCAGGGGTGTCAAAAGTAGCCGGCTGCCGGCGAAAATCACCACCTACTTGGTTAGTATCGTCCGGCTACTTTGCTTGGCATTTCTTTACAGATGGTGTTTTTTACATAAAAAACACCGCTTAGTTCGACAACTCAGCCGTCTAATTCAAAACTTTCTGACAACCCTGCACTTACCAAAAAGAGCATCCAGAGATGAGGGAAGGTTGAGGGCAAAAAAAAACAACTATAACTACCGCACACAAAACCAACATGAGCAAAATGCTTGACTCCTGCCACAGCACTGTAAAATCCCTAAGGCCCCACATACAATTGATTAGTGGTGGAGACCGCTGGCCAGCATTGCCTCATGTTAAACCTCGCCTAAATTAAATTTAGCCACATTTAAAGTCACTGTCAATTTTTCAATCAGGTTGAAGGAAAATTCAAAACACATTTCCCATAATCTTTTAGTCTGTTGGGGGCCAAGAACAAGATCTTAAGCACTACTTTACAGAAACTACAGCACAAGTTAGATTACATCTGTGACACAGGGTATGTATGTAAACCCTGTAAAGAGCTCCTTCAACAGTCCTTATAAAATAAACTGTATTACTCAGACCGGCCCTACAAAAGTCAAGTACAAAGAGCTTATTTAGTTAATACTAGTGAGGATAAAATAATTGTACCTAACAGGGTGAACAATGACTCTCCCATCCACAGCTGTGCCTATGACAAATCAATATAATGAGCATGAGCAAATTCTAAATACCTTCCATAGACCAGTGATAAACTGTGGTTTCTGTGACAAGTGCAAGAGTATTGACATTGATCCATTTCCAGAAAGTAACATCTTCAACCATGGTGTGTGCCTTCATCTTGCTTTTCATTTCAATGTTGAAGATTTGGAGCGTTCTTCCAGCTGTCATATAAGAGAAGATAAAACATTATTTATGGACAAAGCTTTGAAAAATAACACACAAAGACTGTCTAGAAAAAAGGTACATGTAAAAATATATTTGCCCATTAAGACTGTAGATTAGCCACTTGAAAGCTTGTGATTTTAAAGGTGTGAGCAAGAGAACTTTTAAAAGTCATTGATTAATTTATTATTATTTAACACCATGAATATACCAAAAAAAATCCAAAAGACTCTAAAAAGACTTCAATCTCAGGGATGTGCTCTTGCAGCACCTAGTGGCATTTGTTGGCTCCCTTTACCTTTAGGCGACAGACATGAAAACCTCAGTCCTAGCACAAAGCTCTAATACTGGGCAACTTGGAAATCTTGCAGCTTTAGGGCTCCCTATCATTCATCTTAGAACACAATTTTCAGTTTTTTACACAATGTGAGACACCAACCTTTAAGTGCAATAACCTTTGATTTGGGGTTCATTATTGCAGAGTCAGCAGAAATTGGTCTTCTTGTTGGATTATTGGCGTCTGCCAGATCAATAATTACCACTTGAGCTGTCTCTCCCACCTTCTCTCGGACACAAATAAATTTGTCTGACTCCATCGTGAGAGTAGAGAAGCCGATGTTAGCAGCATTGATACCAACATTTTGAAGCTGAAAATAAATGACAAGATTATAAATACTATATATGATTAGTAAAATTTTATAACTTGAGTTTTCAAGAAAAGTAAAAGCTGATACGGTGTATATCAGTTTCTTTTATTAGACAAACAGTAAAATAACTGTGATGACTACACCAAGAGGTCACAATTGAGCAGTTGTTATTTATTATATACTACTTCCTTCTGGTGTGACAAAATTTAGGTGAAATCTTAGTTGCTATCATTAATTTTTCTGACTACTACATAAACTACCACAGGGTACCAAATATTGTGAAAGCTTTAGAAGTCGAAAAATGCTTTGAGTAATGAATTTCTATGACAGAAATAGTTAATGGAGAAATTTGAAGCAATTTGGACCATCAGCTTCAAAATATTAAAGAGCAAAATCGGTGTAAGCAGATGTTATTTTGTATAGCATCACACTTCACACACGAGTTTTGCTATTTGTGTCAGCGATGTGGTCTTCAAATGTGACAAAAACGTTGCTTATTTGCCCAAGAAAACACCTTCAATAAAATAGTTTCAACCTCTTGGTAAGTGTAAGTTTACATGGCCTTTGTGGTTAGTTTTTACTGTTCCCTGCAAACGATCTGGGTTCGAGCCCTGACTAAGATTATTTTCCAATTTAACTATTTCATTACTTTGTCTAAGATTTGCTTTTTTACTGCAATATTATACAAAAATAAAGCAGTAGCCACCACTAATTTTTATTACTACTGTGACATGTAGACCCTACATTACAAAACACCCTGCCACTAGTTTTCATATCATGTGATATTTGTTCCATAATTTAGCTGAGGGAGCCCATTCCTTCAAAGCCTGATGGCTTCCCTTGGGCTTCCTCACCATTGCATTTGAAATAATTAGATTTTCTTGCTTTTGTACAACTTACGGCAAAACAATAAACTGAAACTGAACTGAAACAGGAAATACCCTAGTATTTCTAAACTGCTTTTCATACAAGAGCTTTTGTCTGGAATCCACCTACTTTAATCAATGTGCAGTCAAAAGATCTGCACAGTGACCTCAAACACAAGTGTATAGATGACCATTTACGAGTCTTGGATCATGTATCATTTTTTTCCTCATCTTATAAAGAAAAAGTATTTTAAGCAGAAGTACACTCATGAAGTAACCGAACCAACACATGAGGGTTGCTACAAGGGTGACTCCAGGCACAAACTAATTTTGAACAATACAAAATTGCATGTCTCACAAGACATGCACTAATGAAGGATGCAAGATTTCAAAATTAACTTAAAGAAGGTACAAAACACTTTTATTGCTAGAAGCTCAAAGCTTAAGAACTGTACTGTTACACCACAAGTAGTATGTAGCCATCCTCACTCTATCAAATATGTAGAGGAAACTGTTACTATCATAAATGGTTATATAATAATAGTTGTTCTTAAAGCATTTTAACCAATTTTGGAGCAAAGCAAGTCTCGATCTGCAGATGACGAGATAAAAAGTGATCTTATTATTTGCTTTTTACTGTTGTGCAAGTGAAGCTAGGTTTCTTTTATCCCAACTGGGACCTAAATTTGACAGCTCGGAACTGCACTGTATTCTACAACATGACATGCAACAAAGTAAAGTTTACGTCACGTACTAAACTTGTCTCACTTGTAAATTAGAGAAATATTGAAAGTTGCAGATATTGGTCCACCTTGTCTTTTCTTTTTTATGCTTCTAGAAAAAGATTTTTCAAACGAACGATGCATATTTTTTTTAGGAGAACTCAAACCGTCACGGGTGTAAACTTCGCTTCAGCTTCGCCGTTTTGAAAGATCATTTGCCGACATCATCTATGTTCAATGATCAAAATATTGAGATAATCTTTCACGCCAAAATACACACTCAAAAGGAAAGAAATCCAATTTTCTGATAAAATAAATTCACCCCGTAAGAAAAATCTCTTTTAGTACAAAGTAAAAGAGACTTAAAATATAAAAGTGACCCTCTTCGATTTGACCTCCGGTTTACAACACGAAAGCTATTTCAACGAATTCTGGACTTAAAAACTACAGCAATCAGTTGCTGACGATCAATCACACCCTCAAATTATCCGTAAAAACGACTTAAGTCGTTATTTAACTACAGTAGCTTTTCTGACCGGTCTAGTTCACTACACATATCGTGTCGGAAACATGCGCTTGAAAGAACGAAAGAGCTAGAGGGAAGCTAACTGTCCTATTTACCTGGAGGTGTTCTTGAAAGCGAATGGGCAAAAGCTGCGCCATGTTCACTCAGTTCGTTCAAAAGGACTCCAACTAAAGTCTGACCTACTCAAAGGAGCCAGTAGCCGCCGATATAACTGGCAGGGAACGTACAAATAGATCCAATAGTTTGTGCTTGGTACAATCGAACATGGACGACTCGCTGGCAGCCGGTGTGGTTATGGGAACGAGGCTAAATGAGGGAGGTGCCACGTGAGAAAATGGCTAAGAGCTGGTCACGTGGTGTTTAATCCCTAGGGGAGTCCACAGGGGCACAGAAAACTTCTTCCTGTTTAAATATTTGGAAGTCCTTTATCATGAGGATATCCAACCTCCGCTAATTTTTAAAATTATTTTCGTTCATTAAAAGCCACAAACTTTCAGCATAATGAAGTTTTCAAGTTGACTCCTGTTACAAGCCAGAATCCCACAGCCCCGTTGTTAGATCAATTACTATAATGAGATTATGTTATCCATATGCATCATTTACGGATGCCAGATAACTGAAAGCAATTTGAAACGTTATAATCATCACAATGTTGTTATTTTTAATGAAAATAAGTCGTCTAGCTAATTTACAGTGCCGGATATACATATACAGCTCCACAAATTTCATTCACATCACCGATTTCAAGCATCACAATATTTGCGAAGGTTCTTTCTCTCTCACGCAAAAATAATGACATAATAAATGGATAAAGGCCGAAAAAAACACTTCAATGCACATGGAAACCTATTTGGGTCTGATCAAAATTAATAATTTATGACACTCCTAGCTCATAGGGGCTTAAGCCAAGTTTTGAGCAAAAGTTTTCTTGTCTAATGAGCTTTTACTGTAACTTATAAAATGTTGTCCAGAATTTACTCCGAAATCGAACATAAAACAAAATGATACTCTGAGCAAAACAGCCCAACCATGCATACAATAGGCCAAGGCCCTGTGGGCTATTCAACTATGATCTTAGACTTGGGTGTCCTGTGGTGGGGACCGGAAGGTCAAAGTGAAAGTACCTGTTCGCAATGACTGATGGGAATATTTGTCACGCGTGTGGTTATTCTAGATCTCGGAGGTAATCATTAATTTTGCGGAGGTCTCGAAAGAAAGTGCAGTTTTCAAGGCTAAGTAGCACGGTTTGGTGGCAGTAGATTGTTCCATGGCTTAGATGATGACCGGAAATGTCCTATGAACCGCCAATTCTTTCAAGAAAACTCGGCTACGGCGATGCAAAGGCTCCCGAAAGTGTAACTAAATCACATTCACGTCTAAGTCAAGGAGAGAAGCCAGGCATGTATAATGCATATTTGCAGTTCGTAAACAGTCTAAAACCTGAGATTTCAAGAATCCATCGAGTAATTCTCGAAGGTTTTATACTAAAGTTTTTTCTTCATGTTGTTAGTGAATGGTTTATCGAGATCATTGCATCAACAAAGTGGCCAAGTTCAGCGACAAGATTTCAAACTTCTCATAGATCCCGCCTTGAAGAAAGGACATGTTAAAATCTACAGATACAACGGTGTTTTTGAAGGGGTAAGGCAGTAATCTTTGGATGAAACAAGACAAATTTTCCGCCGAAATGTTACTAAAACTTTTTTAAACTTGTCAATTGTACGTGTACGTTTCCTTTCCAGCAACCACCGGTTGTCCCAAAGGACCCGCGTTCCAGGCGAACGAGGATATGGAGTCTTAACAAAGCAGACTTACCAGTTCCTAACTTTAAGGTTTGTATTTCTTATTTCGATTTAATTTAAAAACCAACAACAACGCGTTGATTGTTTTAAAATGCAATTGCAATCGAATTATTATTAAACACTCGAATTGTAGATTTATAATCATGTACATTTCTCAGCCAATTAAGGGGGATTTCCAGCATATAATCTAACTTTTGTTTGGTGATTCCCTCTGTCACAGGTCGACAAGTGGTATGTAGGAATTCCTCCACAACGCGAAGTTCATTTCTCGGGATTGAACGACAATGTGGACAAGAAATTTCTTGAAGAAATGTGCGAACGTTATGGGCGAATCGATGCCATCAAAATTTACTACGACCCCCAAACAAAAAAGCATACTGGAAAGGGACGAGTGACTTATGCTACCACTGCGGCTGCTAAATTGGCAGTTTCAAAACTCGATCACACTTCTGTCATGGGAAACATAATAAAAGCATACATCGAAACCAACGCCAAAGGTGAGTAACTAAATATACTTAGTTTATCGTAAATCAATAAACGGGATAGATTTTTACAAAAATTCTTCTAGACGGTCGACTTTATTATGTTTTATTTAGCACATGGTATGGCACGTTGACAGTCTATATTTGACGTTCCCGCTTGTTGTTTATTAATTAACAACTTCACGTTTTTACCAATCAAAACCATTTATTATCTTCTCAGATTTCGTTTTGTGTTATACATGTCAACAAAATGTTTTTCCAAAGGAGAGATCTAGCAAACTGAGTTTTGGGGAGGTTTGTGTTTGTTGTGGTAAAATGTTATTGTGAGTTATTGATTTTCTTCTGTTTGATGCCCAGTGTCACGCATGATTGTAAAGCAAAACATGAAATTGAACCACAGCCTGTAAAATGTTTTCCCATCATTACAGTGAAACCAAGATTGTGTCAGAAAACGTTTTGTAGGTGAATGAATGAGAAAAGATAAATGTTAGACAAACAAAGGTTGACAAACTTGATTTTCTGTGTGAAGCCAGTTAAATTTTTTGGCTCATTTCTGAAACACACTTAACTTATGACCAAAAGGTAAATTTATTTTACATTCTCATAAACTTACATTTTAAGTTTTTAATAATTTATATCATTATCAGTATTGTTTTTATTAGAGAACTCAGATTTTTCCTATTCATTGTTAATGTATGTGACTGTTACTGAAAGTGAAACAAATTTCTTGTATAATTTGTAACAGTTCTTTAGAAATTAAAGGTGATTTATAAATTTGTCAAATTTTTCTTTTCTCATGAATTTAATTCAATGTCTGAAGTAATTTTTGATTTAATGAGTAGAGAAGTATGGAGTACGTTACTTATCTTGTTACAGTTCCTTGTTTGACTTTACGTAAGCTCATTCACTTTAGTGCCGTAGTAAAGTCAAGCCTCCATTAAGCGACCACATATTAAGCTGTCACCCACTATTATCTAGCCAGTAATCAAAGTCCTGAAATAATTGTAGAAAAGAATTGCGAATTAAACCCCTATTAATTAAGCAGACTCCTGTATCAAGTGTGGGCATCCCAACGAGAGTTCTCCTTTTATTGTCACAGCCAGCAAATCAAAAGCAGCCACCAAAAGCTTGAAACACATAGTTTGGCTTTATTTTAAAAATATGATAAGGAAAAAATTATGAAGTCCTAGATAGAATAATGGTTGATTTTGGACCAGTAATGTCACTCTCTCATGTTTGTTTCAAGATAAAGTGATGTTTCTGCCAAAAAAATAGGTAAATTGATGACAAACCTCTATTGAGCAGCCAACCTCTATTAAGAACATTATTGTGTTTGTCAGAACACATCCTAATCTTGGTTTTCCTGTGATACAAAGCCACAAATTTTTAAGATATGGGGGGCGACTGCTGATCAGCTGCCCCCACTGATTTTATCATGGGCATCTCAGCCGGGAAACTGGACTCCTTTGGACTCAATTTGGTATCCACAAGTGACGAATGCAGGTCCTTAATCAATGATTACCTCTAGCAGTGTGATGATTGAATTTTTTATGACCATTTTATTTTAGATATCCCTTATAATTTCTTTTAATTCTTGATATTTAGCACATGAAGTTCATGGCAAAACTCGTGGTTTAGAGTCTTCCACAACAAGGCGGAACTCAGGCCATGAGATGCCCCCCTCTGTCTTGCCATCAAGCCAGTTACCCACACCATCCCCTTCAATCATGTCACAGTCATCGTCAACAGATAGCTCAGTGTTATCGCCTTCACTGTTGCTAATGAAAAGTCCTGCCTCATCAGTTTGCCTACCGGCTGACATATGGGGAACATCATTGAGTGGCCCATGGGATAAGTCTGCTGTTAGTAACGTCAACAAGCTGTCTCAGAGTGTTCCTGCCTACATGTCCCCTCAAAGTGTGTCATCTGGACAATCAACATTTGAGCCTGTTTCGCCTCCACATAGCTTCCTGAAGAACAATGAACCTCCACCACCACCCCCACCGACGTCCAAACCACCATTACCACCAGCCAACAAGGAGCCCCCACCTCCACCCCCTAAAGATATTCCTGCTCCACCATCATCTTGTTTCAAGTATGAAGACATCTCTCCTGACCCTGTCTTCTCTCCTGGAGAGGAAGACAAGTCAGGGTTAGCTAAGAAAGGAAAGGAGGAATTGAACACAAGAATCACTAAGAATATTGACTCTCGCAGCAGGAGTTCTGTGCACAGTTCCTCCCCTCCTAGAAAAGCCCGCTCCCCCCGCATTGACAGAAGTGAAAGTTATTCAAAATGGGCAGGAAAGAAACAAGTTGAGCGGGAAGAGAAGTATCGTGATAAATACAGGGAGTCTGATCGCGGTTGTGAGAGAGATCGCAGTTTTAAGGACAATCAAAGGCTTGAAAGACATGGTGACTACAGACATAAAAGAGATGGGTACTTTGATAGAAGGGATGATTACAGACAGTCCGATTATGACAGGAACAGATCTGGTCGCTGGGAAAAAGATGACACTAAATACAGGAGAGATAGGTACAGTACCAGTCCCAGAAGGTCAGATGAGTACAGAAGGTCTGATGTTAAAGATCTGCGAAATAGAGATCCAAGGCTACGAGATAAAGATAGTGAAAGCAGTAGAGGAAGAGAGTTGCATGGTGATAATGAAAGAGATAAAGAAGAACGCGGTGAAGATGGGTACACAAGGGATCCACGCTTAAAAGGACGGAATCTAGATCTCTCAGAAACTCACAAACATGGCAACAAAATAAAGGAGAAGGAAGTTAAAAGAGGGAGTTTAGAAACAAAAGATGGTGTTAACAAATCTCAAAGAGATCTGGAAAATATAAGTGACAATTCAGATAGTTTCGTGGAAAAAGATTTCTCAAAACTGCAGGATCCCCGGTTGCGTGAAAAAGATGATGAGCCAAAGGGCATTTATTACAGTCATCAGACTTCAACTCTTAAAAGTAAGAGCACAATTGAGCAGCAAGAAGAAAATCATGAAGCAAAGGATAAAGATCAAGAGTGTGTATTAGAGTCAGTAGAAACAGAGTCTACATCAAAACCTGTTAGCGCAGAAGAGATAATTTCTTCTGTTGTCGCTGGTACTCCATTGAATGAAACAACAGGGGGAAGTGGATATTCAGAGGATGCTTACATTCTTGGGGTGGAGACTTGTTCGGATGAAGAGGAGCCTTTGCCTCCAGGTGATGAACGGGATGTTGCTCATGAGGTGCAGCTGGATATTGCAAGAAATAAAATCAAAGCTGCACAGAATGCAGTGAAAAAACGCAAGCTTTCAGAGACTGCATTTCAGGATGAAAAGAAGAACGGTGGATCTAAATCTAAGAAGATCCAAATTGTTCTAAAAAGCGTCCAGCTTAATTCAGTGGAAAATGAGCAGACTGCTTCATCAAATGTAGATGATTCCACAAAGGATGCAGAATCTACAGGTGGCTGGAGCTCTGTTTCACCTGATGTTGCCGCAGATGTGTCTGTTTCATCAGAAGCTGAGGACAGCTCATCAAGATTAAACCTTCCACTTACTGAGGATATTTCTCCCTGCAATTCACCAACTATTGAGACAACAACCCACACTGAATGTGAAACCTCAGCAACTTCTCAAGACCCAGCTCCCATTGAGCTGTATTCTGACATTGAAGCAAATGAAGATGAAAACTGTGTTGGTGATGTGAACAATGATGATAATGATGATGCCATGTCGCTATCGTCAATCAGCTCAAATGAAGACACTTTAGAAGTGACTGAACTTGACAGCAAACCTTCTGAAAGTTCAAAGGGAATCTCTGTACCACCTCCAAATGTTGTGTTCCCACCATATCCACCACCAATTTTCAATCCCAATATTCCACCCCCTCCATTCTTTAACCCACGGGTACCTCCTCCACCCATTACAGTCCCTCCTCCACCCCTCCCAACACACCCTGTAGTACCTCCGCCAACTATTTGTCCAACCTTATCTGCAAGGCCCATTATTCCCCCATCAGTACCTCCCCCAGGGGGCCCACCCATACCAATTCCCCCTCCTTCTATCCCTCCATCTTTCAGTGGTGCATCGGGATTTTACAACCCAAGGGCTGTACCTCAGTTCTCCAGTAGTGGTTATGCAAATAGTGGAAGCTATGGCTACCAGAAACAAGAACAGAAGAAGCATTGGTCATCTGTGATCATTGACGAGGTTTATAGGAACATTTGTGGTGAGCTGGAAACTGTTGTCAAGCGAGACATCTTTAAGAAACTTGTTCAGGCTTCGGCATTCAAAGCTTTGGAATCTTGGTGGGATAACCAATCCAAACCTAAGGTGAGATGACTAAGTTTTATAATATATTGAAATTAAATTATTCTTCCAAGCCTTACATGTACTTGAGTTATCACAAAGTATTTCCTTGGAAAAGTGTCACATTTTATTAGACCCAAACTGTGGAAACATGTTTTTTACACACGATTAATTAGTCTTTTTTCCGTTTAATTTATTTTCGAGTAAATACTGTATTCAAGTTATTTGGTAGTTCAATTTTATTTCTTTTCAAGTCACAGCATGCAAAGAAAGTAGTGTCTGATAGCCCCGGGCTAGTGAATTTTGCTCTTAGCTTGCCTGATGGGCAGTGAATTTTTTTAAGAATTCAAATTACAGAAGAACTGTGTAATCAAACGTGCTCCTCAAAAAGCTTTTGGGGCTAGTTAAAGTGATGTTTGGGCTAGTACATGCTAGCTACAGCTAGCCCAAATGGTAAGCTGTAAAACTGACGTTCTTTTCACCCTGTGTCATCCTGTTTTTAGTTTATAGTAAATCTCTAGTAGTAGTTCTTTTGTTATTTGGCCACTCTAACAGCAAAAGATTTCTCCTACCATCTCATTATTATTACTTTATTTTAACCCCACAGACTACACCAATGTCGACTACAAGTTCTTCCAGGAGCGTTTCCATGGGTACACACCCAACGTCCACCGTTGGCCTGCCATCCAACTCTGGTACTGACCCATCTGCAATTGGACCCAGTCCTTTTGACAGATCTCACAGCATGCTACTTGGGTTACGTGCATCACTTCCAAAACTACCATCTTTCAAAGTGAAACGACCACCACAGCCTCCCAAAACTGAGCAGCAGAGTTTCTCTTCTCGAAAACGCAGCAACACAGAATCATCAGACTTGGAAAGGGATCCCAAGAAACAGATGGTAGAAGGAACTGACCTTGGAATTGAGACAGACTTGGAGAGCAGCTCTTCCTCAAACAAGGCTCCACGTGCTTTTAGCAGGATGGAAGGAGAGCGTAGTCACTCACCATGGCAGCAACTTGATGAAAGTATGGATGCAGCTCCTCGAGCTACAATAGTGCGGAGTACTGAAGGTAAAATTGATGAATCACTGATAGTTGCTTTGGAGTTTGTTTAGGAAAAACCAGAAAAAATTTAAACAAAGACCCTTCTTCTTTTTTGCTGTTTAAGCATACTGGTATGCACTTGCTTTATGCAGCAAAAATAGGGTCACTGTCACTTCTAAAATTCAAGAAAGTAAGAAAATTCATGATAGTTTTTATTATTTTTTTATTACCAGGGAGACTGTAATCATGCAAACTTCTTTTGAGTTTTTTTTGCCACAATGATCAGGCACTTCTAAAACACTCAGTAGTCAGTTTATTACAATGGGTTTTGGTTTTTTTTTTTGCATTTCTAAACCATGAGTGTGATTTGTTTTGTCGACAGGCGAAGAACGGCGGCCCAGTACAGGCTCATCCCTTTACCACAAGGTATATTCAAGCAGTAGCAGTGAATCAGGGAGCGATGGAAGTGATTCGGAAGAGGAGGAGGAAGAGGAGGAAGGAGAGAGCGAAGAAGGAAGCGAAGAAGAAAGTGAAAGCAGTGAATCTGAGGAGGAAAGCGCTTCTGAAAGTGAGGAGGAGGATGTACCCAGTGAGAGTAAAGAAGATGCTGAATTGGCAAACACTGAAATGGAAATTAAAGAGGATATTGAAAGAAATCAGGAGATCACCCCAATGGTCATGGAATCAGAACAAGGTACAGCGAATTTTCATATATCATATGATCAACTTGATTAACACGGGAACAATATTATGTAACAGGGTTCACATTAAGTGCCAGCAAGCCGCTAAAAAAACCCAGCTACTTCAACTTTTGAGTGTCCTACTCTTTGGGATAAAAAGGTAAGGTGAGAGAGCAAGTGCCTGAAATTGACTTCAGCAATCGACTACCAAGCTGTCTACTTTTATATCCCAGCTGTCTTCTTTAAACTTAATAAGAACCCTGTAATCATACTTTGCTTTGCTTATAGTTGTAGGAGTGCTCAATGCATGTAAATGCAGCTTTAAATACAAATTTGAAGATAAAAGATTATAAAAGAGAGTTGCATAAGAGTTGTTTGCTGAAATGAGTGCTTTCATTACTGGCAATTTCAATGCAAGCACTGATTGTAGAATGAACTAGACAAAGACATAAAACATTTATACCACTCAAGGTATAGCCATGTGCAGTATGAAGAAATTCAAGGGCATTTTATAACTGGGAAGTGCTTCCCAGCTTTAAAAGACATTGCTACTCAAGACACCAACTTCTCAACATGAAACTGAATGCTTCAGATGACATTTNGAGTTGCATAAGAGTTGTTTGCTGAAATGAGTGCTTTCATTACTGGCAATTTCAATGCAAGCACTGATTGTAGAATGAACTAGACAAAGACATAAAACATTTATACCACTCAAGGTATAGCCATGTGCAGTATGAAGAAATTCAAGGGCATTTTATAACTGGGAAGTGCTTCCCAGCTTTAAAAGACATTGCTACTCAAGACACCAACTTCTCAACATGAAACTGAATGCTTCAGATGACATTTCCCTGCAACTGGCTATGTGCCTTAGGACAATGGATTTATTCAAAACTGATAAACCTTCTTTGGTTTTTCGTTCTGCCTGGGAAAAATAATGTTAATTTGGTGCATATTTTGTTGAACTGGAATTTGAATGATAATATTTTAAAACCAAAACCTTCAAAGTATCTCAGTTTGACTTGTGTCATGCCATAGACAGCAATCAGTCTCTAACCCTTTCGATTTTTAAACTGACAGCACTGAATCTCAAGGAAATAACAACAACAATCTTTTATTGACTCACACACAGAATTATTACAAGAAAAATGTTATATACATAACAAATTTACAGTGGGATAACTAAAAATGGTAATTAAAAGTTACTTGCCCAGCAAAAAAAATTACTTGTCCTGGACTGGCGGACAGGACTTTTTTTGAGCCCTAAAACAGTATGAGGTCAATTTAGAGTGTATAGTGATTAACGCAATTTTGTTCTTACAGATTCTTTACCAAAGTCATTTACTCCAGTGTCAGTACAAGATTTGCCCAGTTCCAAATGGAATGAAAGTGTGTTTTCTAGTAATAAGGAACTTGAGAGGACAGTTGAAACCAAAACTGTGTCACAGACGACTAATTGTAAAGTGGAACAAGTTGCACATATGGAGCCATTTCATTCTTTCCATATTGCTAACATTGTTCCTGATTTGTTTAAAAACCATGATGATTCTTCTGATAGAGCTGAACTTACTGAAGACGAGAGTGATTCGACTCAAAATGAAACAGAAATAGTGCACAAAAGTGATGAAACTAGGACTGGAATGGATCTCCAAGGTCTTAATCAGTACGGTGGTCATGGTGAGAGCAATCACAGCTCCTCAGTGATAAAAGTGGAAGAACCTTTAGAGAAAAAAGACATTAAATCTCCTTTGCGTCCTCCTGAGTTTGGTTCCCAGGATAAAGAGAACATTCAACCTTCCTCTCTTAAGTTTATGCCAGAAGAAAAGTCAGTGGAGAAAATGGACCAAGATGATGACGTTTTTGAAGATCGAAGGCCCCTCTTGTCGCCTAACAAGCCTTTAGCAGTGTCACTTGTAGAACTGGATCATTCATATGGCCTGACTATTCCAGAACCCATGTTAGCACAGGAGGAAGAAACTAAATCTTTTGATGAGCCACTCCACCCTGGTAACAGAGACTTGACTGAGTCACCCCTCCCTGGGCAAAGAGAGTTGGCTGAATATCCTGTAGTTGATATAGTGACTGTTGACTCTGTACAGCCCAGGCGCCCTGTTCCTGACCTCAGTCTTCCTAAGCCCCAGTTTCCTGTACGGTCATTTGAGGCTGATGATGAACTGGCCTATGAGTTTCTTAGGTTGGGTATTGATGCCGAGGATTGTCATTACATGAAAGTTGGCTTTGAGCAGCTTCAGCAAGTTGGGTCTCAGTCAGTTTTGGATGCCCACTGGAGCAGTCATCCTGATATCCTTTTCATACAATCATTTAGACACATTTATGACCTGCACTAAGTACCTGTCAGAGAGTGATGTCTGATGATGATGTCTAAACAGACTCAAATAAAGGGCGTAAAGAAAGGCAGGGACCAACTCTAGATGTCTGTCTTACAGCGGTGTCCGTTAAGAAAGAGTTGACTGTAGTATGTCTTACAGTCAACTCTCCCTAAGATGGATGCCTTTGGGACGAGTATAAAGTAACTTTTTAAGAGTGATGTGCATCCTTTAGAGACTTAATACTGGTCCCAAAGGCATCCATCTTAGAGAGAGTTGATTCTAAGACATAATACAGTCAACTCTCTCATAACAGACACCTCTTTGAGACGGACACCTAGAGTTGGTCCCTGCCTTTCTTTACTTCCTTTATTTAAGTAACTGTCTAAGAGTGATGTGCATCCTATAGAGACTTAATACTGGTCCCAAAGGCATCCATCTTAGAGAGAGTTGATTCTAAGACATAATACAGTCAACTCTCTCATAACAGACACCTCTTTGAGACGGACACCTAGAGTTGGTCCCTGCCTTTCTTTACTTCCTTTATTTAAGTAACTGTCTAAGAGTGATGTGCATCCTATAGAGACTTAATACTGGTCCCAAAGGCATCCATCTTAGAGAGAGTTGATTCTAAGACATAATACAGTCAACTCTCTCATAACAGACACCTCTTTGAGACGGACATCTAGAGTTGGTCCCTGCCTTTCTTTACTTCCTTTATTTAAGTAACTGTCTAAGAGTGATGTGCATCCTATAGAGACTTAATACTGGTCCCAAAGGCATCCATCTTAGAGAGAGTTGATTCTAAGACATAATGCAGTCAACTCTCTCATAACAGACACCTCTTTGAGACGGACACCTAGAGTTGGTCCTGGCCTTTCTTTACTCCCTTTAGTTAAGTAACTGTCTAAGAGTGATGTGGATCCTATAGAGACTTAATACTGGTCCCAAAGGCGTCCATCTTAGAGAGAGTTGATTCTAAGACGTAATACAGTAAACTCTCCCTTAACAGACACCTCTGTAAGACGGACACCTTGAGTTGGTCCTTGCCTTTCTTTACTCCCTTTAAGTAAGTTTTTAATAGTGATGTGCATCCTATAGAAACTCAAATAAAGGGAGTAAAGAAAGGCAGGGACCAACTCAAGGTGTCCATCTTACCAAGGTGTCCATCTTATAGCGGTGTCCGTTAAGAGAGAGTCGACTGTATATAAGATGATTAAAGCCATAGTTGCCCATCTAACCTTGGACATCTAATTCACACCTGTCATCATCTTCTTACTTGTAACTAAGTCATTCCAAGCCATTTAGGCAATATAACGTGAGCAAGTTTAAGACTGATCTCCATACATTTTCTTAAAAAATGTGTTGCGAGAATTTGTTTGAAGATCAAAGCATTTTCTCTTTGGTGATCACTTTGTTAATATTCATAACCTAATCTCTTGATTGTGGTGTGAAATTGTTAGGAGAAAACCGATGTCGGTCACCTTTAGGATTTCCAAGGGTTAAATACTGTGGATTATTGTCTTTAACTATTATCACTAACGGCCCAACCTGCGCCAAAGTCACGACGTAAACAAAAAACAGAGCAGGGTGTGCGTGTACATCTAACAGGATGTGCCCGTTCTGAAGGATTTTACAAAATTGACATCAAGGAAAAAGCCAAGTACCTGCAAGCTCAGCGGCGACAGCTTCAGTGCCAGGCCAACATTACTGAGAAAGAACAGGTACAATGTAGTCTGCTATACAGCCGTTTTTAGTGTCGTCACGCAACGTTCCTCCCCGTGACGACACTAAAAACGGCTGTGTAGCAGAGCTACGTCACGAAATCTATCAAAATTTAAACAGTAGGAACTGTCGTAAAACTGAGTGAAACATGAAAATAAGCGCTCAAAACGTTAAACATAGGGGCTTATAACACAGCAAATACAACAGAAAGCACGAATGGACAGTAATAGAGAAGATTAAATCAGATTGCAATTTGGTGACTTGAAACCTTTTTAGCCTAACAGTTTGTAAGGTTTGATGTAATGTTTTGGAGACCTATTTGTTTGACACGAAAGTGTAATTTTTACTTTACAAGTAATTTTCTCGTCAACGTCACTGAGTTACATAGCGAAAAAGGGCGCGTAATTGGCAATGTTAACCCTTTGAACCCTAAGATCAAAATTTGAATTCTCATTTGTCGCCCCTATTCATTCCTACAGAAGTAGTAGGGAGGAGGGAGAGGTTTCTAGTTTTCTAGACTCTTCGCGCCTTGAGAAACCGATTTTGAGAAAGAAACCCGAATGTTTAGCTGTCTAAAGTCCATTGCTTACATGTACAATGTTTAATTTCAGAAAACGGATGGTAACAAGGCCAAGCAGCAATCTCGAGAGCACAGAGCAATTCAAAGAAGACTTCAGTCAGCTGTGTGTAACGAGGAATTTGGCGACTTACTCAAATTCAATCAGCTAAGGGTGAGAAGTGTTTTCCTTTACACATACAATGCCAGTAGTCTTGATTTAGGTTTTGATTCCACGGGACACACTTGGAACGAATAGATTCGTGTTGCTGTTAAAACGTTGTTTGAAATTACCGGTATTCTAGTTTATTAACTATGTGGCCTATTAACCATTCGACAACAATTTTTCATGGTCTTTACCATAGAATTGACGTCAAAATGTTTACAAATCTGGCGAGTGCTTTCACGTCATTTTTATGGTCGATAAGAGTATAGAGCATGGAAAAGTGTTGCATATTTGTTTTTTGCAATGACATTGACAGTTTTTGACGTCCATTTCCGGTGAAGTTTCTTGAAAAATTGCGTGCGAGAGAAAGTTAAAAAGAATTTACGCCACGTCATTTCCATAGTCTATGAGACTATGCTCTGATAGACCATAGCTCTCGGCCAATCAGCGACCGAAAAATCCCTCTGTTTTAATAAAAAAGAAAAAGAATTGGAAATCCATCACAGACCTAGAAGGCAAATACCCGAGTATAGTATAGCACCTCCCAGACATGTAATGCTTCAAGATGTTTCTTCTTCTCAGTGCATGCGTCTTGTCTTGTTATTCTGCAGGTTCGTAAGAAACAGCTTCGATTTGCCAAGTCAGGTATTCACGACTGGGGATTGTTCGCACAGGAATCAATAGCAGCGGATGAAATGGTGACCGAATATGTTGGAGAGATCATCAGACAGCCTATAGCGGATATCCGTGAACGGCGTTATGAGGAAATGGGTATTGGTTCCAGTTACTTGTTTCGAGTGGATCAGGACACGATTATCGATGCAACTACAAAAGGAAACCTGGCGCGGTTTATAAATCACTGCTGTGATGTAAGTAATTAGAGACCTTTAGGAAGAGTTCGACTGCGAGGAGGAGTTTTAAAGGGTTTTCGTGTGTTCTCAAAAATTAGACACCCAGGAAAGCTTCTTTGTACTTTTTTTCACCAGAAAGTTTAGCTCGGTTATTCTCATTGCAGAAGATTAAGCCCTTTTCCGATCACAAAATGATCAAACCTCTCACATTTGATCGAAATAACTTGTTTCCGCGGCGCCCCTACGACATTAGGCTGATTTAGCAACAGAACGGGAACGTCAGTTGACGATGACGAGCGCAAATCAAACAACTGGCTTGACCAATGGCAGAGCGGCAAATTGAGTACCAGAAGCCATGTTTAGTCCTTTCCGCGCGCTTTCCTTTCGTCAACTGACATTCTCGTCCTGTTGCTTAATCAGCCTATTTTCGCTAACACCCGTGGTAGAATAACGACGACTATCACGTTTTCCCGCCAAAGTATCGCTAGTCCACTTCCTGGTATTGAGAAGACCTCGTCCTCGTATTTCTTGTTCTCGTCATCGAATCTAAAAGTCTCTCTCCTATTTTTTTTTTGCTCAGTTTTTCTATCCTATCAGTACTAAAGTTCTTCAGTTCTATTCAAACCAAACCGTAAAGGGTATTTCAAAATCGCTGTATACTATTGTTTACTTACCCTAGCCTGATTTATCTGTTTAATGCCCAGCACCTTGGGTTAATCCAATGTTCTCTTTTTATTACTCTGCGAACAAGCAAAGCCAGACGAAAAGTCACGTCCGGCGCGATAGGCAGAGTCACGCGCGAGGGAGGGACTTCCGACCCTTGCGATTTTTCTCGCGTTTGTGATTTAAACGTATTCTTTTATCTCTTTCGGCAGCCCAACTGCTATGCCAAGATCGTCACGTTAGAAAATGAAAAGAAAATAGTCATCTACTCCAAGAGGGACATTCAAGTGAACGAAGAAATTACCTACGATTATAAATTCCCCATCGAGGACGAGAAAATACCCTGTTTATGTGGTGCGCCACAGTGTAGAGGCACTTTGAACTAACCTTCTCCTGTATGCCTGTTGTTTATATGTCAAATGTTATATTTATTGATGAATTTTGTACAAAGAACAGAGCTTTAGATGTAATATTTTGACATGAGATTAGGGCGATCTCATTCGTGAACACGTTTTTTCGTTTTCTATGCAAGAACATTGTATTCGCCCAAAAAGGTTTTAAACCTTCTGAACATGTGGTTTGTTATTAAAGACAGTGTTAAATCACTCCTTCGCTGTCCTCGTAATACACTGGTAGTCCCTTTGAAATTTTAGCTTTAAGAGCTTTAAGAGTCTGACGCGCGCGAATCGCGCGAATCTCACTCAGCCTCGCCCAAGACCTTTTGTTTGACAGTTCGCGCGTACTTACATAAGCAAAAATACGGATTTTTTAACAGTCTACAAATAGTCTCTCTCTAACAACTTCAGAATTCCTTTCAACGGTCAGGTCTATTTACCATCGTCAACAATATAATATTCTTATCAATTTCTTTATCATCCTCTTTAGAGAAATAAACTTCATGAAGACTTGTTCTTAACAGATCTTAACCTACGTTA